TCTTATCCCATTTAAATAATAAAGAATACCGTTGATAGACAAGATAGTTTGGTGGGACATCTTCTTAGACATGAAGAGCTACTAGGATACGAAGCAGTGGAGTCACGTATACAACCTGTCATGGGGTGATGAGGATAATGAGCTGCTACATTTGTTATCCTTTGAGAAATTGGCGTAAGTTAGGAGTGGAAAATAGATGAACAAAAGAACAAGCGTGTGCGTTTTTATTATACCAGGATATTGTACGTGTAATAATAATTTGAATGGGTAATTGTATGAGCTAGGTAAGTAAGACAAAAGGTGACGGAAACAGAGCCAAACGGGCCTTGTCGTAGATAGGAAGAGCGTTGCGCTGGCGAGGAAGAGTGAAAGAGCTAGTGGCCGTGGCCGTTATGATAATTTACAGCATCCTTAGTCGAGACGGTTCCGACGATTTTTCGGAAAAGTTACCCTCGACAGCTTTTTGTTTGCCCCACTCCAATTTTTCGCCTTAATGGATGGAAGTTATTGTGTGACGGAGATTCTCGCATCGCATAGATGAAATAAACACTAGCCGGAGCGCATTGTGTCGGTGTTTTTGTTTCTCGTGTAGAGGTGTAATTAGTCAAAGCTAACATTCACCGATCCCACTGTGGCTAACAAACGAACGTGCTTTCTACATTACATTTTTGCACCAAACGCCTCGCCATGTCACACTGGCCGTAAATTATTAATAACACGCACGATTCTCTATATATACTAACTCACAGTCTAATATAACCTCCCCCCACGTCAGTAACTACCCTTCACACAGCTAACGTAAGCAAGTTAAAATCTTATTTTCGCATTTTCTCACTTGTAGTTACATATACCTAATCACATCATCCACGTAGATAAGGACAACGTGCGTGCCGGTTATCTTCTACATCGTGACCTCACTTCAAGGCCCTTTTCGATGCACGTAGACGCTAATGTGTCCATCACAGTGAAATTAAAATCTCTTGATTAATTAAACTTACCAATTTTCTGACTCACAGTTTGAATTTTCCAACACGTATCCTTACTTTTTTACCGTAATTTTGAAAATTTATAGATCAAGTTTCAATAATTTAGAAAATTCCAAAAATTTGGAATTTGCTATCTTAAACAACGTTCATTTTATTACGTATATGAAGGTAATTCACTGTACCGGAATTAATTTAGTCCAAATATATTGCTTAAAAGTCCTAATCACAATCAGGATACCTTAGGATTAACATGTTTATGTATCGACAAAAGCTCATAATTGCATGTTATAATCAATTGCTATAAATCTTATCAAATATAGACTAAATTGTGTACTCGGGTTTTAAAGCTAAGCATGTTGGTTACTTATAATTATAGATGATATGAAATTTAGTAGCAAGCGCGTTTTGCGGTATCGACGATTAGAGCTTTAAGAAAGCTTTCCGAGCACTAAGATACTTTGTCGAAATTGATGTTAACACATGAAATAGTTTTAAACGAAAATACGTTTTGAAACGATTTAAATGAATAGATGGATGAGTGACTTGTTGGAATCTTCGGTGAAAGCGTATGCGTTTCTTTTTGTACGGCAAGGCGCCCTATGTGTCGTGCATGTTTATTGCCCATTGTATGTACAAGTCAGCATATCGATTTTGAATAAAACGACTTTTTTATGAGTCGGCATGATGCGTTTCCTTTTCGTTGCTCCATTCCTGTTTTTACCTCGCCACGATCCACGTATGTTTATGAGCTTACATACCTGACCATAGTAATCATCTATTTGTTGACAGAAACTGATTCCTCTAAATAAATAGGAAGCAGAAACAGATCTTCATTAATATTATCGATTAAATAGTTTCATGTCATCACCATAAGGTCGTCAGTTCTAAGACTGGTTGGACACGCACCTCCACTCTTTGCTATTTTGAGTTAATCTTTGCATTCCTAATTCCCGTTTCTGTGTCTAATATGTCTTCATGCCTGAGAAGGTGTCCTACAAATCTATCTCGACTATTTCTTATTGACTTTCTTAGAGTCCTCTGTTCTCTTATTCTTTCTAATACCTCTTCATTTCTAACCTTCTCTATCCACGGTTTCTTCATCATTCACCTGTAACACCACATTTCTAACGCTTCTAACCTTTTCTTTTCCGCCGCACCCACTGACCATGTTTTGCACCTCTACAGCGCCGTGCTCCAAACATACACCTTTAACAGCCTTTTCGACCCTGCGCTATCCTCTCTTTTATATCCTTACTACTCCTTTTGCCTTGTCTTATCTGACTTCCTAGATATCTAAATTCGGCCACTTCTAATTTTTCGTCTCCCATCTTTATATTCGCTGTTTCCCTATCATTTCTACCCTTGCATACCAGTATTTTTGTTTTGCTTTTATTTATTTTCATACAGGAGTTTCGTGTACTATCGGAAAAGGAAATAGAATTATTCTGATTGTCCATGTGGACGTTTCACGAGATATCTGAGGTGTTGTTAATCGAATATTCTTCGTTTCGGTAGTTTTAAAAGAGCCTGTTGGTGTTTATTTGTTAAATACATTATAATAGTATGCCTTGTCCTTGTCAAATACTTATTCCATTATTTTGATGTATAGAATCGAAGAAAAGTTTATAAAGAAGGGAAAGTTAGCTAGCTATTCGGCGCGGTTATTAATCTCGTCGAGTTCCTTTATAACATCGGTTCATGCTCCTGTACTGAATGAAGCGAATACTCAAGAAATAGCAATCAGGCGAACTCAATTAACAAAACGAATTACCGCAACAAAACAAGAAAACAAAAGCTTTGCAGATCTATCGAATACTTTCGAAACAATTCATTTGTTATATAGGTTTATACGTACATATATGTATAAAGCAAAATTAGCGACATAGTTTAAAAAAATTTAAATAGGAAAGCATCTAGGATCTATGGATACCGAAACATTTTTGAGATTAATTGGAAAACTAATGGTGTACTGATTTGGGTCTAAAGGAAGAAACTCCAACCGTCGTCGGTTATTGAGATTATTTTCTGTCCCATGCTTGTTATGCCCTTTGATTCTTACTTCTACAGTTTTATCACATTGCCCAACGTATGTTGCGTTAGATTTTTACCGCTTAATTGACTGTTTAATAATAACTATAATGAAGGGTGAATATAATCAATAGTTTAATCAATTTTTACCAAAATATATTGATTCATATTCTGCCATCCTAGAAAAGCTTGCCTAAGATCGGCACAAAGAAATTCATCAATAATTTTGAATGGCATTGTAATCAACAAATAGTTTTCAATCGAAATTTAAGGTTGTTTGGGATATTGACTTTCTAAATTCTTAACAGACATAGCTATGTCAGCGGGTACAGTCAGAACAAAGAGGGAAATGAAAAAAAGCAGGTAATGGATCTAAAAGCTGTCGCTAAAACTAACAGAATACAGCCTGTTTTTCAATGGTAGAAACCGTTTTTCAGTTAAAGCTTTGACAAATTTTGAAATAAAATCCTTTGAGCATCGTATTTATTTGAGTGGCTGTAAAATGCTGCAATCTCACCTGAGGATGTCAAAAATGACGTCTGTCACATGCAGCAGGCTCGCTTCAATTTCATATTGCTTTAAATTTTATCTCTCATGTCAAAATCTCGAAGCTCCCAGAACATTTAGAAAACGCTTATAAATGGTCTTATATTATTTCTTTACGCACTGTCATAAACCTGATTTTGTTTCCATTTTATAAACAAATAAACGCGGTTTTAGTGAATCTATGTAAATAAAATTATACTATGTACCTACTTAGTTATAAAACTTGTGCAGCACCCTAGAGATGTTAATATTAAGAAAGGAATCAGACAAGGATGCACAGTGTCATCACTAATTTTTAATTTATATATCGAAGAATCGTAAACATCGTTAGAGACAGGACAACTTTAGGGATAGATGTATGCTTAGATTTGCATACTGATGTGTAATGTGTGTATGTGTATGTATGTGTGTCTTTATTTTCTCTTCTATTTTCTATGTGTCAATATCGTGCTCTTCGCTTTTTTCCCTCTTTTTCTTCCCTTTCCTAGTCCATAAGTATTATTATTATTAAAAAATATATACGCCGTAAGCTCCTGGTGAAAAAAAACCAAGTGTTTGATGTAATTAATTATTTATTGTTGCTATTAACGTCATTAAAGTTAGGTAACTATGGCATCTGATGTTAAAAGCGATTTTAAATTGGAATAAGTTTCTCGTTTATGGAGTGAAAAGTTGTAAAGCGATTTTTTTTACTTTTCGCTATTTTTCTCGGTCGGTAAAAGAAGCAAGTCGGTAACTACATAGACTTGCACGTATTTTCCATAGCTTTCGTTAGTCAAAGGAAATCGATACAACTTAATTATACTGGCGGTTCTTGTCGGTACAAACATGTATGGCTTACACCAGCGACAATGCTTTTTTTTTCTCTTTCCACTTTATTTGTGTAATTTTACAACGTCAGTAGCAGATTTGAGAGATACTGTTACCTTTTTATTTCTTTTTTTTTTTTACGCGGTCCTATGTGAAAGTTCGGATTGTATCGCAATTTTAAGTTCGATGTTGTTATAGACAAGGCCGAGTGCTTTCTTTTCTAAAAGCACATGTTCTTTGTCTTGTTACAATGAAGGCGTAGCCTTATCCTAATCTCGATTACGCGGCAGGAACGTATTGTAAGGGTATTATTGATAGTTTATCTGATAAAATTGACTGCCAACAACAATCGATTCAGTGCCTACAGTTTCTAAGTTTATTTACGAGTGTTCAAACTCGATATTACCACAGATTGTACAGTCAAGTGCTAATATTTTGCATTAAAATAAAATTATTACGTGACCGTATACGCATAAGCACCTACAATAAGCTTGACTGTACTTGAAGTTAATTGTTTTTTTTTTTTTTTATTTAGCTGTTGGACGTTTATTTTCTCCAGAACTGCAAGTAGTTGATGAGTTTTTAGTTTTATTAGGATGCGTGTCAATTAAAAAAAGGTTTCTCTTTCAGGGTCGGGACATAAAGCGTGTTGTAAAACAATATGAAGTAATCTAACAATTTAACATTATAGGAATATTTTCATCGAAAGATGTTTCCTTATCAGTTGGTTTTTAATGTTCCTAATATTGAAAGAAAATTCGCCGCTACGACTTCGTTAGAATCGAAAATCGCCTGTAAATGATGAATAATTACAAACGCCAAGTGAATAATTTAAATAAAATTGCGCAAGATGAATGATATGTCGTCCCCTAGGCACCAAATAGGTGTTTCAGTCCCAGGGGGCGGTAATGTTGGTCCATATGGAACGTACCATTCCAGTACTAGTCAGTTACATCGAGTCCCTAGCGAAATTTATTCCATGGGGGAGCAGTACAGATCTCGTTATTGCCTGTATCCTGCACCACCAGCATACGATCGCCACCAAAGACCCTCGACGATGATACGAGAAAGGAGCTACCAAGACGTTAGTTCTCGTGAAGATGATTACTACAATCCGACTGTCAAAGAACGGGAATATTTAGAATGTGAAGACAGTGATCGCCACTATAACTCCCTAAATTTATATGGGCCATACGAAGCAAGTTTTATTAGGAGAAATTCATGCGGACTTGGATCGAATAGATACAGTACTTCTACTGGTACTTACAGTTCGAATTCTGCCTACTATAATAGTACCACAGCTTCATATAATTCCGGTGCAAACGTTCATAATCCACCCAAAACACATGACAACGGAGTAGAAAGATTCGTTGGTTTTTCAAACGGCTACGAGAAGGAGAAAGGTGGCTCATCAGGACCAGTAGCAAATACTGAAAGTGATAAAAATGATAAAGGAAACATATCACCTAAAAGAATCACAACGAGTAATCCCGATAGTAACACGTACGATGGTCATAATAAGAGTTACGAGGTCGAGGTCGAACAGGATACGAGATCGTGCTGGTGCTTTTCCAAAGAACCCACAACTTTTAGTCAAGCGATTACTAGGACTTCTAATCAAGTAACTAATCGAGTATCAACGCAACTAGTAGGTCAACCTGCTCAAAATATCGACCAGAAATCAACTAGTAACAGAACTGCTGATCAAAAGTCAAAACGAACTTCTCGATCTAATAGTGAATTCGATAACAAAAGTGCTAAAAGACTGTCTAGTGATTTAAACCAATCTCCGAAGACTTGCCAGAAAATGTGTTGCAAGTCGTCAGTAATGGTCGCCATTCTCATGGGACTGGTTGTCACCTTCATAGCTGTATCAACGGTGCTATTCTACACGAATTGTACGTTTGATGTTGTAAATTGCATGCTTGTTTGTTCTGCATGACAGACATGGTTTTCTTTTTGCTTAAAAAAACATTTCAATTCTACTGCTGTGTGTTTTAACGAATACATTTTATTGATTGATTAAGTCGCTAATAAAACTTGAGTCAACGAAATGTTTTGTGATTCAAAAATCAAATCAGAATCTTATATAGTAAATGCAAATTAATATTAATAAATTATTACAAAATTTGCAGGACACAAAAAGTATAACATTATTTTCCTCATATTTTCCATAAAAATTATCTATTTTATTGATTGTAAAAATGTCCACAATAATATTCAGAATCGATTATAATACGTACTTATGTTATTTCTCATTTGAAAATTTTGTTTCGTTTGAAGTGAAGAGAAACAACAAATAATTCCTTGAAGTTAAATGATAGTAATAATTATTAATTATGTATTCTTTGGGGAAGCGATATCGCTGTTGGATACGTATAAAGGTTCGTGAATTATACATACATATTATAAGGACTTACTTTTCGAGTATAATATATGAGCCAGAAAAGTGGAGTGTAGTACTCCACCTCACGAAAATTATACCCCAAAGGAAACTTCATCTTCTTAGTAGACGCAGTCTCATCACATAAAATAACATAATAAAATTTGCAAATATGATTAGATCCTGCTGGAATTTTGTAAAATTCTACCACTTTAAACGCACCTTTTATTTACGGAAAGACAGTATCTTCTTTACTAATGAAAATTCATCAAGTTTTAAGCTATTTTGTCTAACCAGCTATTCCTTAGCTTTTTTATAGAAATTTATTTATATTTTCCCGAAGATTCTTGTGACGGAAAAAGAAAATTTAAACAAAAATAACAGATTATTTCACGCGAACCAACACAATTTACTCGAAAACTGCACCTGTTACAAGTAAATTTGTTAGATAATGTTATAGTTTATGTAGTATTTAGATTAAAAGCTAAAATCGATAATAATCCGATTTAGTCTTTTGCATTTTATAGTATGATGAAGGCCGTACGTACTGTATTAAATACCCCGGGTTGGGAGGGATTCGCAACTTTGGCTATAAATTCAATAAGCACATTATACGGATGAAACTTGTCAAACAGTTGCCCTAAAATTATATATGGGACATAACTTATTTTATTCTACTTTCCACTGCTACGGTGGCTGTAGTGTGTTGAATAACATTTCAAATGTTTCAAAAACTAAACTTCTATTCTAGTCCAAGTTGTTAAAGTACCCATGTACGTATTTTTGAAAGCGTTTGAAACAAAGAGATTCCGTAGGTGTTTTAAACTTAAATATGTATAAGTAGTAAAATAATAATAATAATTTCGACATACGTAGCGGCGGCACCACAATAATTATACAGGAAGGGAAACGTAGAGAGTGCAATTGAAGCAAGAATAGTAAAAGGAAAGAACCCTGCAGCGCAGCGTGCTTATTCTAGTCGACAAGAGTCTTCTAATTCAGGCTGTCATGCACAGGATAATAAAGAAAGACATTAATTATCATCCCCTAATGTCGAGTGCAGTGTGAAGTTGGCCGCACTCACGTTCCTAGAACCAGGTACATCTTTCATAATGTGAACCAACCACTCAATCCACTGTAATTGACATTCAGATATTTCTAACTTTCATCCACAATCTAAATCAACAATTTTCTTCTAAACTGATATTAAAAGATCACCAAAGAATATGAATTGATACTATAAAGGAGTACAAGTTAGTATTAAAGGTCTTTATTGGAAGAATATGTAAAATGACATCAAACAGCACAGGATAATGCGAAGTATCTTTATCAAATAATATACAAGATCATTATCAAAGACAATAAGATAATAATGAGAGTGTTTATTGAAAAGTATTGATATTGAAGATGTTCAGCGAGGAAAACCAGATAAAATTAAGAAAGAGTACGAAGTAGTGTGTAGGATCATTATCAAAGAATATTAATAATAAGGTCATTATTAAATACCATAAGACGATATTGATGAAAATTGCAAATTGAGAATGTAAAGGAGTACAAATTGATAGTGAATATCAACCAGAGAGTACAAGTTAATGATCGACGTCATTATCGGAGAGTATTGATATTAAAGATAAGACAAAGAGCCATTTATTAAACGATATTAATTGTCTGGAAGTTAAAAAATGTTATTTGAAATTAGCAGAGAAATTATTTTTCAGAATCCTTCAAAGGAATTTTCAACTAGATACCTATGGAGATTTGAAACGAACATAAAACGGAGGTAATACGAAAGAATGACTCTAAGTTCTCTGTTACCTCCCTTAGGAAATTGATTTTGAAATTAAAATGTCTATTTTTAATCAGCGTTGAAATTTTGATAAATTACGCCATCCTCCTATTCTGTCTAATCTTTGCAAATATCTTTGAATTCAGAATTTCATTTTGTAAACCACAACAACCAAGAACGTTCAACGACGAAATGTAATTTTACGGTACATGAAATCCTTTTTTCGTACGACTGCTGTTAATTTATTATAGAAATAATCTGTGCCTTGCTCTGTTGATCAAGAAATGACAATTTCAACTTAACAGCTCTATAACCACAAGATAAGAGAATGGATAAAATAAAAGCTAGTTGAGCTCCACTTAGTACAAGATGCGGATTAGAAAAGCTAACGCTATCGGGTACAATGAACTTTCGATCAATATACAAAACAATTTTGTAACGTAGCACTTTCTTATCTTGCAACTTTACTTACAATTTTTCAATTCTTTTTTGTAAATCCTCATTCGAGAATACTTTTTCAATACTTGGTAGACACATATTTGTGGTCCAGTGGTATTTAGGTTGCCCGAAATGTAAAAACTGAATAATTAATCGTATCATCTAATTTAATCGTGGCATTAATTACATTCGTTATCAAATGACCGAGTGCGGGAGTCCAATCATTTATAAAATTTATGCTCGCTTATAATTCAACCTAATGTACCTAATACACTGTCTGAAAATATCGTAGCAAAAATACTGTCATTGACTTTCTAAGTGATCCTTATTAGTCATCAAGCAATAATAGACGATTAACAATCAATTAAAATGCGTCTCCTTTTTTACATGTAAAGGTAAAAGTGTCAGTTCTCATCAACACGCGTCAGACACTACTTTTATTACGGCCATTAAACAGCTATCATTAAAGAAGTATCTAAATTCAACGTATCGATTCAATAAAGAAGATCCTTTTCTAATAAAGATAACGACAAGTCGAGTCAAATGACAAACTGTTTCAGTTTCAGTATGAATATTCATCTATGGAAGAAGTAGTTCATCATTGGAATTAACCTTTTCCTGTAATAACGTCATAGATCTCGAGAAGCGTTTCATGATTTGTATTGATTGAGTTCTATACTATTATACGTAATCGCGTTCCTGAAAATTACTCGATCAACGATTTAGATGAAATTTACAGTTTACGGGTGTGACGAATCGAGAAAATTCGTTATCTCCGTGTTTTCCACTCATAAAACAACAAATTAAACTTGCCCACGCAATTTCTCCACTGAGATGATCTTCGTCTTGTTAATAGCGTAATGGTTAGACTTGTAGGTCTACCACTCCGGAGTATGCGAGTTCGAATCCTGCAATGTGATCAGATATTTTTTACTTACTCTTTTTATGGTATGTAGAAAAGAAGGATTAGGCCTGTTAGGAATTTTTTATCACCCGGTGTAGTGACGTTTTGAAAAAGTTTTGCGGGGTATGAATGGTGCGATACGTTTCATCCTGTCTAGTTGTATGATGCAAATGTAAATATATAATATTTGACATGGCCTGAAATGAGAAAACTTGAGCAACTGGAATATAACTACCGCGATTGAGAAAGTGGGGATTAGGCTTAAGCCCGGTGAGCGAGAGAACTGCGGTTCGATATGAACTCATAAAAGCGACCGAATTCTGTTCGGGAAACCACGTTTTACTATGAGGACGGCAAAACAAACGTGCACGTATGCAAAGAGGCCTTCTTATCATCTTTTCCTTGTAAGACGCTGCCTCTCGTACAAGAAAATGAGAAAGCGCAAACACATGAATGACGTATAAGTATGACTATTAAGGGAGAAAAAGCGCCTGGATGTCCAAACAAACTGTGTACTACTTAAATTATATCTACGTACATAGTACAAGTTTTTGCTGTTACCCAAATAAATATATCATAGGATTAACTATTCTGTTTCAATAATTGCTTTTATGTTGTTTATTTCGAGTACGCTAATGCATTATAGGATTTATTTAGCTAACAACGCAATGCTATTAACGAAAAATTTTAAAGGTAATTAGCTGACAATACACAACACCAATCCTATTCAACTATTCAATTACAATTTATCACCAGCTGGAATATATTGATCATCGCAAAACACGTATGCACCTATACGCAACCAGAATTTCCAAATTTCTTGTTTATTACTTTACACATCATTATTCGCCAATAATTTCCGATAAGAAATTATTTTTATGAATATAAATTTCTAGATGCAGTTCTATTTTCATAACATATTATGTAAAAAGAAATTTATCTATCCCTCGGGAACAGTATTTTTTTCTGTATAAAAGCACTCTATATCCATTGTTATACTACTGACAATGTATGTACAAAATTTCATGATGATCAGTTGAATAGTTAAGGCATGAAATGGTAACAAACAAACAAATTCACATTCGCAATTATATTAGTTAGGATAGGGGTGAACGTCCGTCTTAATCATCCTAATATGTTGGATAATATGCGTTCTAACATATTTTCCCATTCTTAATTTTCTATTCTGCATTTATTAATTTACATTTTAGTTCAAATAACTGCAATAGAAAATCCGCGTATTTTTCTATTTTTTGTCAATTCGTTGTCATATAATATCATTCCATTTAAAGCAAAATCATATGTAAATGTGTAGGTGTATTTTCATCGCGGTTGAAATTTACAAGCATACTGAAAAAAAGCGGGACTTCATTCTATTCCAATACAAATTGTCGAAAAGAGAAGAAAACAAAAATTAAACGGTAATTGAAGCAACAGTTTAACGTATGTAACACACCCTCGCACACGCGCGCGCTCTTTGAGGTGACCTAGCCCTTAACATTTGACCGGATAAAAAAGGCCGGAGTATCGTTTGTAGTGTTAAATACGTCATCTCTGCACTTATGGTTCCAATTATAAAACGGAATATGTACATACATGCATGTGAATGCATACATGTACTTAGTAAAGAGCAATCGCAAATTCATTACAGCGCTCGTATATGTACATAGATGAGATGGATAACGAGCAATCTTCGTTCCATTTACAGTTTGTATGAAATGAGAGACTCTAACAGATAATTTGAGCTTACATCTTCAACTATAGAAGGAGAAAGTGATGATAACACCGTATACGTTTTAGACATTCATTAAAAACAACTAATTTACTTGTCCAAATAAGTCCTCAAAAATAAAGCTACATGACATAAAAGGGGTAGGTGATAAACATCGTGGTGTACCTAATGATGCTAGTGTGTGTGCAGGTGGCACGTAGTTTTGAAGCTTTTTTCCGTGTACTATTTATCGCGCGGACGGTGGTGAATCTTCACTATGAGTTGCAAACGGTGCGCGTACGAGACTGAGTTCTTAACTTCCCGAGACTGATTTTACACCGTGCGTGTGAAATAGGCGTCTTCACCATGCAGTGCCGCTCGCGCGTACGGCACTCAGTTAATACGTTCGCGTGCGAGATTCAGTTCTTAACCATCCGAGACTGATTTAATACCGTGCGTGCGAGATACACGTCTTCGCCATGGAGTGCCGCTCGCGCGTACGGCACTCAGTTAATATGTGCGCATGCGAGACTAAGTTCTTAACCATCTGAGACTGATTTTACACCGTGCGTGCGAGATACACGTCTTTACCATGCAGTGCCTTACGATGCAATTCGTGCTCGTGTGAGACTGCGTTCCGAAAAGCGTAACATTGATTTTACACCGTGCGAGATAAGCCTTCATCGCACCCTAGCCGTTCCTACTACAAATTTTATAACGTACCTGCGAGTGCTACTTCCGAGTTTTTTGGTATATAGAGATGAAACAAATGCTTAGGTGTCCCAGAAGTATAATCCATCAAGTCGAGACTTCTATTTCAGCTGCAGGCTTAAATTTCACCTTAAATTCAATTATTTTTTATGCAGGGCGAGACTGCTTGAACAGATTAACAAAGGAATAAAGTTTTTACAATAAATTCTGAACTTATACCAAAATATCTTTACAGCACGTAAGTACACGTCCGATAAGAAATTATTTTTATGAATATAAATTTCTAGATGCAGTTCTATTTTCATAACATATTATGTAAAAAGAAATTTATCTATCCCTCGGGANCAGAAGTATAATCCATCAAGTCGAGACTTCTATTTCAGCTGCAGGCTTAAATTTCACCTTAAATTCAATTATTTTTTATGCAGGGCGAGACTGCTTGAACAGATTAACAAAGGAATAAAGTTTTTACAATAAATTCTGAACTTATACCAAAATATCTTTACAGCACGTAAGTACACGTCTCCGCTGGTTCAAAATAAAATATTTATTTTGTAATAAGCTTCTGAACGTTTTAAAATTCCCACTCAAACACTTCCAAAAGTTTTAATTCCCATAAGAATGAAATTATCAATACTCAGAAGCGATTCGTTTGTTTAACTAAAATTTTCCCTTCGAAATTATCGTTACCACTTTCGCGCCCATTTGTAAAACAAACAATCTGTTCGAGTGTATAAATTTCCAAGTGTATTTTCAAGGAAAATGGCAAATTGAGTTGCTATACACCTACCGGAAATTTTATTTGTTTCAAACTAATTGTTCGCCTAATAATAAACACGATTATTACTTTAGAATTTTTTTGTTAAAAATAGTACCAAGCATATATCCAGTAAGTTTATTTAAAAATTTATTTTTTAAAATTGCATAGAACTTTAATATAATTTACGAGATGTCTGCTTGATTTGCGTTATACGTATAACCATGAAAAATTGAGGATGAAGCCCCTCTGTATCGCAATGTACGTACAGTGGAAATTTTGCTGCGAGCAATTTGTTCTGGAATGAATGCGAAATGAATTTCTCGAATAAAATTCGCCCAGTACAAACCGATAGCTGAATAGTTAAAAAAAGAGCAGGAAAATGAGAGAAAAGTTAATTTGTTCTACCACCAATAACTACTATAAAATTCACTTTTAGAAGTGGACGCATTAATTAATGTATACGTATACATATCTGTATTTCGAAAAAAACCAAGCACAATAAATTAAAATGAACGAATTATGACAATTAGTAGGATAATGATTCTAAACTTGTTAATGAACTTCTATGGAGGAAAAATAGAGGAAATTTGGTTGTACGACAACAATATGATTAAAAACGAATACACTTTTGCATTTGCGATTGTTATCTGTCGTAAAAGCAATGAAACAGCATTCAGTTCAATTATTATGGTCAAATAAGTACAAAATAACTTCAGCTGGTGTATTTCAGTAGCTAAATGCCCATTGTAATATCTATTACAGTTTGATGAATGTTGATTTTAGTCTGAATAAAATTCTTCAATTTGTGCGCGTGAATAGCAAATTACCCTTCCAGCAAGCGTCCCTTAATGGCGACAATTGTTGCAATGTTCAACATTGCGAATCGAGATCATTAGTCCGTAAAAGTGTTAAGTGTCTCTATTTCTGTAGCATCCGCACTCTTCATCTAGCGACACGAAAAATAGAAAAACGGGTTAACTATTAGCAAACGGCAAATTTTAACAATTTCTCTTAATTTTCAAAAAAAAAAACTCTATTTGCAGCATCCTGTCTTGTGCATTAAAAACATACATTCATATATATTTTTGAGTTAAATAATAAGTTCGTCAAGATAAGGTCGTAAGTCCTAAGACTGACGATTGAACACGCACCTACACTCTTTTTTATACTGAGCTAACCTTTGCATTTCCCTAAAACTAGAACATCCAACGTCCTTAACTATTTCTAAACAGTAATCTAATCTAGGTCTACCTCAGATATGTGTCTAACTTGCCCTTGTTGCCTGAGAAGGCATCCTATTAACCTATCATGCCTTTGACTTTTATAGTGAGCCCTGTTCTCCTATTTATAATCTTCTGTATCCACGGTACCCTCACCATTCGCCTGTAACACCCGCATTTCGAACGCTTCTAACTTTTTCCTTTCCGCCCCGTCTATCGGCTATGTTCCGCACCCGTACAGTACCTCACTCCAAACATACACCGTTAACAATTATTTGCGTTCGCGAGCATAGAAGTGACTTCTATTTGTTGAAGGCGACTCGACTCTGTGCTACCCTCTGTTTTATATCTCTACTGCCCCTTCTATCCTGAGTTATCTGACTTCCTAGGTAGATAAAACAGTTAAAAAAATAAAATGTCTGATTGTTCTGATATTGCGTCAATTTTAAAGACAGAAATGCATGGAATTGCCTTTGCTTTGAGTGGATAGAACCAGTAGAATTGGAATGTTGTTAGATATTTAGGCTATTTCGATCTAATGCTAAATGGTACAACTTTTAAATGAAAATGATAAATAAAGTGTGTGTCAAACATAATTTAATATTATTTTGTAGAATGGTCACAAATCGTTTTCATTTAGCAATTTGTTTTAGAACAGCGTGGCCGAATTTTAATGAGTAATTAAATCGGTAGTCATTAATGCGTAAATTAATTTTATTTGTTTTGCTTCTGTGGGTAATTTGTTTTATCATTTAATCGAATTTTCAAATAACACACTTTAGATACTGCGATATGAACAAATAGAAACGTAGTCCATCAATAAGGAATAACTGACATACAGATATATCGCCCTACTGAACCATTATTATTAATTTCTAGTATTGCTTAAAATATACAGATCAAACTCAAATCACATTGAAGTGTTTTTATAAAAAGACGGGAAGAAATTGAATTATTACTTCAATTTTATTAAAATACCTCTCATATAACATGTTTAACCGACGTCAAAGAAAAGAAACTTATGCTGGTATCTATATTTAGCGCTTTTTGTTAAGAAATTCGGTTTTTTCATTCAGATTTTTTAAGAATAAAGGGAATACCGAAGGAAGCTTCAAGTTGTGACACATAAATATCAAATGCCAAACCAATTTAGAATTCGTTTCATGTGATAGAGGATCATTAAAATGCGTCCTGTGCTTTTCCCTTTATTAATTACATTTGTAACGTATTTCCCCTCTGACAGTATTTTGTTTTAAAATAAAATGGCACTTTCATTGTAGATTTTTAAAAATTATATAATCTTTGCTGAATTCATTAATTCAATATACTGTACAGGGTGTAGCAAAAATGTATATTAAGATTTAAGGAAAAATCTCGTCAAAATTCTAATCTTTAAATATGTTCCTACTTTAATGAATAATTTGTCTTATTTCTCCTTAGATGTTTAAAAATTAGAGAACAATGTACGAACAATCAATGTATGCACGTGTTTTGACATAAATATGTAATAATTATTCTCATTTTTTACAGATTCATCCCTGAAAGTGCCCCCTAAACCTATCATTGATGGTAAGTGGGAATTTCATCTCACATTAACACTTCAAAAATCGGCCCTTTGCGTTAACAAACGAAAAAGCTCTCTTGGGACCAGTTTTTCACCCAACTTATAATTTATATTAATTTTTCAGACTGATAAATAGGATATTACTGCCTAAAATGTGGTACCTACCTACCAGTTGAGTACAAACTACCCCATATTTTTTTAGATGTCGTAGGAAGCATCATTCAGCAGAAGTTTTGACTTTCCGACGCACTAATTGTGAAACACCCCGTATTATATATACCTATATTATATATGAGGTAATTAATTTTTGTCGGTTATGCTAGGGCTTACGCATACTTTATGAGCGGGATTTGTTAGTATTGTGTACTTTAACTTTGTTTATGTTTCGAGACCATTTTCGGGTCCTCTTCGATGACGATCCAGTTAAATCGTACGGGTTGAGTAAAGACAAACATTTGTACTTCGGGAGGCGATCAACCGACAAAATCGAAATACTTTGTTGGTCACGTGTAATATTACAGTCAATTTAAACCGGATAGTCCAGCGATAAAGCAATGTGAACATTCCTCCTTAGTCGGGTAGGTATCATTAATCGAATTAATTTCGACATAGACCTAATTTGTAACAAAACACTTTGATTACCTCTCGCACGAATTGAACAGTCAAATAAAATTAACGAATTTGTATTGGATACAGAAAAAATCGCTTCATCTAATTAAATAAATCTGAACAATGTAGGTACAACGTAGTGTACCGATAGTTATTTTAATTAAATTTTAAAATCGATTAATTTAATTAATTAAATCGCTGCTGTGATTCTCTAATAAATATGACTGTTGTTTATGATGATGATAATTAACGTTAGAAATATCTCCCGGCCGATTAGAACGTAAATAATTTTTTCACATTTTCCATTTTACACTTTACACTTTACACTTAACACTTGATCCGATTCCCACACCTATGAGCATTCAAATTAACTCATGCTGCAGTTTTAATAAATTGAGAAACAGCAACACATTTTCAATAAATACTCATATGACCGTATGTTAATATATTTGAGTTTGCTGCCTACTAATAATAATGGACTTGGTTAAATCACCTAACAGTGAGTAGTTCGTGTTTGATAGGCGAGACTGTACAACGATTTGTGCAATTTATATTATCTACGATATAAAGAAGATTTATCTTTACGAGGTATTACCTATAAACGCGTTGTTGATGTCTGATGAAACGTTAAAATTTTGTTTACATTATCCGACAGGAAACGCTGTTGTAATTGAGAAAAATTGCTTGCAACAACCAGGTACTTGAATTTTTCCTAATATAATGCAAAGTTATTAAAGTCACTGCTGTTTTCCCAGTTAACGAGAAAAGTAAGCAAGTTTCCAGTTCCCCTTGTGAAAAGAAAACTCAGTCAGTAACTTAAAAACTACAAGCTTATTTTTTAATCAGAGATAGTAATAAAACTGAAGAAAACGAAAATAAGCTACTTCTTTAATTGTAAAAAGAAATGTTCTGTGTTTGAGGTGTGTCTATAAAAAAATCTTTGAAAGGAATAGCCGGAAATGCATTCTGGACTGGCGAATTCCTTTTCAAATGTTCAAAAAGTAATAATGAGATTGAAGCTTGTCCGTAATTTTAATTATGTACAACTCTTATTTCTGTCTTGTACATGCATAAGTAATGATAACGAAACCGAACAGATATTATATGCACACGTTAGTGTTCATGGTTCAAAATCGTCGCATAGTTTTCTATACTTATGCTGACAGACGATACCTTCTGTCAATATTGGTTTCAGAGTCACATATTCCACCGAGACTAGCTGTTTGATGGGAAGAGTAAAGACAAACAGAAACGATAAGCGTACCTATTGCTATCATAGTAGCTATTCCGTCATGAAGATTCACGCCTGGCACGGAAATCAACCTGTATGCTTAATAATACAGCCTATGTATAGGCTGCTTCCACCAATTATCAGAGAGGAAGTATACGTGGTGATGCCATGCTCTACTCCAAATACACTACAAACACAATATATATTATATACTTCTAATACACTTCTGATGAACGCTTCCAGACAAATTGACGAAAAGTGACCATCAAAATGTGACTATTTTCAATATGATTTTATTAGATTCTAATGTCTCCGCTGGAGGACGAATCCATGATTTTCAGGATCAATGAACGAAGTACGAGTAGGAACGCCTTATTAAGGCTCCCTAAATATTCGTGTACTTCGATCGATGCATCTAACCTAACGAGACTTGACTATGTCCAGTGACTTTTCTAAAGCTTTAAGCAATAATACGAAAGCTTCCAGACTAATTGGCGAATATTGTCCGTCAAAATGTGACCATCTTCAATATAATTTTGTCGGACTGAGACGATCCTGTTGCAGGACGAATCACAATTTGCAGGATCAATGATTGAAATACGGGTAGGAACGGAGAAATCCCATTTTCAATATGATTTTATTGGACTGTAACGTCCCCGGTGGAGGACGAATTCAGGATTTTCAGGATCAATGAACGAAGTATGAGTAGGAACACTTTATTAAGGCTGTCCAAATATTCGTGTACTTCGATCGATGCATCTTACCTGACGAGACGTGACTACGTCTAGTGATATTTTCTAAAGTTTAAGCATTAATACGAAAGCTCCCAGACCAATTGACAAAGATATTACATCAGTGACAATTTTGAATATAATTTTATTGGATTGAAATGTTCCTATTGCAGGACGAATCCACGATCTGTAGGATCAATGATTGAAGTACGGGTTGGGGCTTCCCAAATATTTCGTGTAAATCCATATACGTCCAGTGTTATATTCTAGAGCTTTGTGCTACAAAACGAAAGCTCCTAAACCAATTGACTGGAAATCCTATTTTCAATATGATTTTATTAGATTCTAACGTCCCTGCTGAAGGACGAATCCAGGATTTTCAGGATCAATGAACGAAGTATGAGTAGGGAAACACCTCATTAAGGCTGCCCAAATATTCGTGTACCTCGATGGATGCATCGAACGTAACGTGACTATGTCCAGTAATATCTTTTAGAACTTTAAGCTATAAAGCTGGTACACACGAGGACACTTGAAATATGTGACGCCAAAAAAAAAAAAAAAAACGAACGAATGGAAGCGTGTACCATGGTCGAAATAGGCACAAGGATAATTAAACGTGAAGAAGGATCTAATCTGTTCAGCGAAATGAACAGTTTCAATTTTATTAAGTGTATCTAAACAATAAGGGGTTGCATTTGTCGGAAAGTTTATTCATCCAGTTTCTGTCTTTTCGAGGGATTAATTAAAGTAGAAATACGAAGTACCGCAACCCGATCAAATGATGTGTTCATTCTACGAGCGTGAGAGTGCGAAAAAGTCAACGGTTTTAGCTAACGCAATCTGCAAAAAAAGTGCAAAACAAGGCAAGGCTAAAGTGACGCCCTTTTTCTTTTTATTATTATTTTTTTATTTTAGTCGCCAGTCGGCTACAGAAGGCAACTTCATCTCCGTTTCATTCCCTCGCCCTCGCCGGCCTTCGTCGTCTCTCCGATCGCCGTGAAAAATAAAATTGAATAATTGCTCTCCTGATTTGTTTCCGGAATTAAAAGTTTGCCGATAGCAACACCAGGCACTGTCGTCAGCTTTTAGAAAAGAAAAGAAAGGAATTATAAAGAAGGAAGCATTGGAACTGTTACTTACTTTGCTCGGAAAAGCGAAGGCAACTTTGATGTTATTAGACCTCGAACTTCTTCGTTGATCAATTGCATACATAATTTGAAGGAGTAATTTTGAAGCTGGCCATTCTTATTACGTGCATTTCCCGATGAAACAATCCATTACCGACTAGGTAACAGTTTTTAACTTTTCAAATAACCGACACAAATTGGAAACTTAACACCCAAAACTACAAGCAAATAAAGAAAACCAAAGCTTAACAAGCATTAACGATTGCTTTTGTTCATATATAAAGTTTATAGTAAAAATTATTGAGGTAGAATTACTACAGTTATAACTAAAACAATTAATAATCACAATAATCTTAAAAAAAAAGAGGTTTACCAAGAAGCCTGATGAAAATTACCGAATTTTATTATGAACTAATTTACAGTTAGGGTAATAAGTTGGGAATGATTTTGATACTACTTTTAGTAGGTAAAAATTATAAAACTTAATTTGTTTTGATCCTTTGTGGTTAGGGACTTGCTGATTTGCGCCTAGAATTTGTATTTGGTAACCTAGCATATTGGTTTGATAAAGAACAAACATCAAAAACGTTTGAAACTAAGCGTTAATTCTGTTTTACAAAGTTTCGTAATTATCAGCAGTTCAGCAATTGAAAAATAACGTTCAAGTAGTGTTTCAATCAGTAAATTTTACTTGTTTTTATTTGCAATAAATTTTAGCGCATTTTCTGTTGTGGGTTCTCGTTAGTAAGCAGTATAGTGTTAATTAAAGAAAAACTGATTTTGTTCTTCTGAAGTTTAATCCATAAAAGTAGAAAAAAGAAACACCAAACCGTTGTTGTTGTGTACGTAGGGCTTAATGAAACACTTTAATTCAAGCAGTGTGCTGGTAGAGCGAACGTTTTATTAGAACGTTTATTTCAAGGTAAATAATTTCTTTAGAGTGAGAGAGACTCTCTAACAGCTGTTCAATTACAAACTTTTAAAGGTCCTTTGCAGTCGCTTTTATACCGATTCCCCATTTTAATCTTCAACGAACCTGACGTGTACGATATAGTAGAACAATAACGAAAGCTCTTACACAAATTTTCTATTATTTAACCGATACCCCCGAGGAAAAGAAACAGCAGCGCAAACAAATCAAAGGAGTCCAGAGTAGACAATAAGGTGAGCAGTTGCAATTCCAAATGCAAATTGGCTTTCTTTTGAAACATTATTGCTCCTTCAAGATAACTGGACTCATTTTAGAGAAAAACAATCTTCCATTTGGAAAATGGAACAACAGGTCTCTTTGCTTACACGAAATT